TGGCATCGAGTCAAACCCAGGGCCAGAAATCTACACCTGCTGTGTATGCCAGAGACGACTACACCATAACTCCACCTCAGTCAAGTGTAATACCTGCCAGGGGTGGAGTCACCTTAGAGTATGCTCAGGACTACGGACACATCGGCAGTGGACCACGTCGTACGTGGCCCCCTGCTGCTCAAACAGAGCAGCCTCCCCGGCTATCCTCAGTCCACCTGCGCAGCCTCACACAGTCACCACAGCACAACAACATAATAACACCACAGACCATACCACAGCCACGACAGACCACAGAACACACATAACCGCACCAACACCGTATCGGGGATCTCAACGCAGAGATTCGGCAACTAGTAAACGTACATAAGCGGAAAAAGTGGGAAGAGCATCTGAAGAGCTGTAACTTCACCTCTGGTGTGAGTAAGTTTTGGTCAACCGTGAGGTCACTGTCCAATCCCACGAAGCACGACGACAGAGTCGAAAATCTTTCGCCGACCATGCTTCGTCGGACCCGGAGCGATGCGCGAGCTATTTTAGCCGGCAGTTCATACTGCATCCTCCGGAGGACAAAGCCAAGCGTCGAGTGACCAGAAGGCTGCACAAACTGCCAACAACCTGTGCCCCCCTTGCTTTCACTTGCGGTGAAGTTCAGGTGGTCATCGGGAAGGCGAAAGACTCCAAAGCAATAGGTCCCGACGGAATATGCATGCTGATGCTGAAAAAGTGGGGTCCTGCGGGGGTAGCTTACCTAACGGAGGTCCTCCATTTGTCTATGTCTCATCATCCCAGACATTTTAAGGTGGGGAGAGAGTGGTCCCACTGCTCAAACCGGGGAAACCTGCCAACATAGGACATTCTTATCGGCCGATAACACTCCTTTCCCGGGTAGCGAAGACACTCGAGACCTTGCTGCTCCCGTACTTCACAAACCACTTGACCCCAGCGAAGCATCAGCATGGTTTCCGTAAAGTGCACAGTACAACAACAGCACTTAATGCCATAAACACTCAGATAACTCGTGGCCTTAACCGTAAACGTCCCTGTGAGAGAACGATTCTAGTAGCGTTGGACTTGTCAAAGGCGTTTGACACCGTCTTAGAAAAATAAAACAGGGGGCTCCACAGGGTGGTGTCCTTTCCCCGCCACTGTTTAACTTTTACATTTCAAAGCTCCCTCAACCACCAGAGGGAGTATCGATTGTCTCTTACGCCGACGATTGCTCGATCATGGCGACTGGGAATGGAATTGACCTGTGTTCGAAAGTAAACGGGTATCTCTCCGAACTTTCTCGCTTCTTCACTACAAAGTGTCTAGCCCTCTCCCCTACGAAATCCTCTGCGACCCTGTTCACAACCTGGACGAAGGAGGTCCGGCTACCGCTGGGAATTCACGTCGATGACACACCAATTCCGACGGTGAATAATCCCAAAATACTCGGAGAAACATTCGACAGCCTGCTCTCCTTCTCTGCGCACGCAACCGCTATTGTCAATAAAGTACAGAGCGAGAACAAGGTCCTCAAGTCACTAGCCGGCAGTACTTGGGGCAAACACAAAGAAACGTTACTGGCAACATACAAGGCAATAGGCCGGCTGGTTTTAAATAACGCAGCGCCAGTGTGGTTGGCGGGGACTAGTAGGACGCAGTGGACGAAGCTACAGACTGTACAGATCACCGTACTCAGAACATCGACAGGATGCCTCCTGATGTCGACCGAACATCACCTCCACAACGAGGCACAAATGCTCCCCATAAAGGAGCACAACATAATGCTCTCTGGCATCTATATGAACTGACGGACGAAGTCCAGAGGTTCATCAAGCAACCTCTGGACCCGTCAGCTTACCGACTGGCCCTGAACGGCATTCACAGGGAGTCAGTCTCGAGTTATGTATACTCTAGACCTGTGAATGCCGTTCTAGGCACACCATCACCGGACATCGACGAGACGGAGCTTCATCTGCCTCGGGAGACTACAACCACAATAGCCCAACTTCGCTCTGGCTACTGCAGCAGGTTAAACTCATACCTGAGTGTCCGGCAAGCGGAGAGACACCCCACGTCTCGGAACATCTCTTCGTATGCCCGGAAAAACGGCACTGCTAACGTCTTTGTCCCTGTGGGCCGACCCCATTGAGGCTGCACGCTTCTGAGGGCTTCCGTTAGTTGAGCTTGACGACAACGACTGAGATACTACCCGATCTGAGCGGGGCATGTCAGAAGGCATCTATACGAACTGACGGACGAAGTTCAGAGGTTCATTGAAAAACCTCTGGAGTGGCATTCACAGGGAGTCAGTCTCGAGTTATGTAGACTCCAGACCTGTGAATGCCGTTCTAGGCACACAACCACCGGACATCGACGAGAGGGAGCTTCATCTGCCACGGGAGACTAGAACCACAATAGCCCAACTTCGCTCTGGCTACTGCAGCAGGTTAAACTCATACCTGAGCAGGTTAGACGCAGATGTGCCAAATGAGTGTCCGGCATGCGGAGAGACACCCCACGACTCGAAACATCTCTTCGTATGCCCGGAAAAAACGGCACTGCTAACGTCTTTTTTCGCTGTGGGCCGACCCCATTGAGGTTGCACGCTTCTTAGGGCTTCCGTTAGTTGAGCTTGACGACAACGACTGAGATACTAACCGATCTGAGCGGGGTATGTCAGAAGGCATCTATACGAACTGACGGACGAAGTCCAAAGGTTCATTGAAAAACCTCTGGACCCGTCAGCTTATCGAGAGGCCCTGAGCGGCATTCACAGGGAGTCAGTCTCGAGTTATGTAGACTCCAGACCTGTGAATACCGTTCTAGGCACACAACCACCGGACATCGACGAGAGGGAGCTTCATCTGCCACGGGAGACTAGAACCACAATAGCCCAACTTCGCTCTGGCTACTGCTGCAGGTTAAACTCATACCTGAGCAGGTTAGATGCAGATGTGCCAAATGAATGTCCGGCATGCGGAGAGACACCCCACGACTCGAAACATCTCTTCGTATGCCCGGAAAAAACGACACTGCTAACGTCTTTGTCCCTGTGGGCCGATATCATTGAGGCTGCACGCTTCTTAGGGCTTCCTTTAATGGAGCTTGACGACAACGACTGAGATACCAACCGATCTAGGCGGGGTTGTTGTAGCCGCTACAACAACACCAACATAGCTCAATCTTAAGTATTGGTCTGATAGAAAGAAAAACGTAATACATTGTATCGAGCCAGGATCTTGGCTTGAATGTGGTGGCACGGTTTCCATCGAGAAGGGATTGGAGATTGGGAAAAGCAGATGATAAGGAAGCTATCTGCACTGGACTGCGGTGTGGGCGCAGGAGTATATGCAAAGGAGCTTGGTGCTAATCTGTACCTGCGGCTGGCGAGCCATGCCAGCATATTTCATGGGCATATGTGAGGCTAGAACAGCTAGAAAAATGGCTAATAGAGCGAATACGTTCCACTTTTGGATCGTAAATGTCTTCCTTCTTTTTTGTGCACGAAACAGCCCGGACCATATAAGATGAAACGCTGCTGAATGCCAAGGGCTGGCTTCCTTAAGTCATAAAGCTTCCGGGAAACACACAGTTAGGCAGTTAGCGGACTATTAGTCCGGGAGCCAGCGACAGTTTGAAGTTAGTAATTTCGCAAAAGCTGAAAATTTCACGTTCGCTTTGTTTTGCATTCCACAAAAAGAAATGGACCTTCAGCTTGCGCACATGCGGGTGTATGGATTCTTCAGCTTCCCACGCATGTAATAAGATGATACAGAAAAACTAATACAGCTGAAACTTTTTCGACGTGTTTATGATATTAACAAATACCCAAAGAATATAATCAGCTGCCCTTACTGCGGGGGATTATGCGTCAGCTTTCCACGTAAACATTGCAAAATTTGCACTGAATAAATTGATACCGCAAAAGCTAAAATTTGGTATAGTATCAGCTAATTGAGTAAGTTACACAAAAAAAATATTCCGCTTCATATAAAGCGGGGGAAAAGTGCTCAGCCTACGAGCTAAAGGCTCGTTATACGCGTGGGAGCCTCTTATCTGATCGCATCGGCTGAGTACTTTTCCCTCGCTTTATTGGAAGCGGATTATTTTTTTCAGTTAAGTTATCAACTTACCTGTGGAATTTCAAAATTTCAGCTTTTGCCGTATTAGATATACATTGGGTTTTTATCACTAATTATAAAATACCCATATATCTATTATTTTGTAATTACTAGAAGCAGCGTGCGCATGCAGTTTTTGGATTATATAAGGCTAATACGATGTTTCCACGCTTCGTAATTCGCTCTCTAAGTAATTCGGGAGTTACACTGTTTCCACGCCACACATTAGTAATTCGTTTGGCAGCTCTACTTCTTGTTCTTCGCTATTTATTGTTATTTTTGTGTACTGCAATTATCGAAGATGGAGCTAAAATTTAAGTTATCATCAAAAATTTTAATTTATATAGAGAATATTTGGGAAAATTTTAGGAGACGGACGGCAAATTCTAGAAAAGGGGGGTGAGGGGGCGTAGAATAGGACCCCCTGATTTCAAAAATACTCCCCTTTTTCAAGCAACCCTATAGTTCTTATATAATTTATTGTTAAAGTTTTCATATAAACGATGAATAAGATAGCAAAATAACATAAAACTTGGTGATGCCAGACTGAAATTTTGAATAATAAAAGCGGATTTTTAATTCGGAATTTTCACTTAGTAGTGTAAAGTATTCGCAAAGAAAGTACTAGTGGCAACTACTCTGCCAAATGCAACCCTACGAAACGGTAGGGGATTACCATTGGTAGCACTGCGTTAATATCCATAACGTTGGCGACCTTGGCTATCGAATGTGACATTTTGACCGATTCCTGAAAGGAGAGCTGCAGCCTATTTTACCACGAAGGAATAAATCTGGAAAACTAAACGACATCTTTGTACTTTACAACTCAGGTGTGGACAAAAACCCATATAAAGCACTTGAACCACAAGCGCGACTACTTATTTACCCGAAATGTCACAGCGAATGACAAAGCAGGCGATAGTTGAGGCACTGGGTAACGCGGGCATAAGCTGCCCCAAGTCGGCTAACCTAACCCAACTAAAGCGCCTCTACGCCGGACTCCACCAACTGGAAGAGCACGAGCATGGCGCCTCTAACTCCGAAGAAGAAGATCCCGTATGGGTCGTATCCGCAGACATCGAAGATTTCGCCGGCTTTGGCGCCAGCGCGCTAACAGCCACCCTAACTAATTCCGACAATGAGAGCACCACCGCCGAGCCTGCCGCAGCCACTGCCGAAAAACTTCCCGTTGCCACCACAACTCTGAGACCGCAGCCCCAGATAGTGAATGTGCCGTTGCCGCGCCCAATTAATCTGTTGCCACAACCAATGCAAAAAAAGGCGCATAAAAAAACTTCAGCGAAGAGAGACTCTTAACATAGTTGACGGCGAAGAAGGACGCGTGAACTTATTTTCGCGGTCAACTATGTTTGCGGGTGTAATAGTATGTACATTCCGTTAATCGTTTTTGGGGAATAGTGCTGAAGTGACAGTCCTTGGCCAAGTATAAATCTATGATTACGCGTCTTTCTTCGCCGTCAACTAGGTTACGCGTCTTTCTTCGCCAAAGTTTTTATTAAGCGCCTTTTTTCGTAAAATTTTTGTATGCGTCTTTTTTCGCCGTCGAAACACTAGCGCGCCTTTATTCGTATCTAGTGACGACATGTAGTTTGAGAAAAAAATCGTACGATTTTACTGCACTCTAAAAAATTTTTGTTTAAATTTGCGCATATTAAGATAGGTAACCAGTTTCCTCTCTTAATAAATGCAAATTTACACACCATGTTTATTAAATTAAACACTGCATGCCTGCTTTTAACCGCTATATTTGAGTTCTTTGTAAATTTTATGTAAATAAAATGCAATTTATGAAACTTTAAAACGTTTATTTATTTATTACATACTGTACATAAAACTTGCATAAATGTATTTTAAAGAGCGTATTATCTGAAGCAAATTTTCTGTATTTTCTGACAATATATATTTAGAAGTATAACTGACGGACGAAATCCAGAGGTTCATTGAACAACCTGTGGACCCGTCAGCTTATCGAGAGCCCCTCAGCGGCATTCACAGGGAGTCAATCTCGAGTTATGTAGACTCCAGACGTGTGAATGCCGTTCTAGGCACACAACCACCAGACATCGACGAGACGGAGCTTCATCTGCCACGGGAGACTAGAACCACAATAGCCCAACTTCGCTCTGGCTACTGCAGCAGGTTAAACTCATACGTGAGCAGGTTAGACGCAGATGTGCCAAATGAGTGTCCGGCATGCGGAGAGGCACCCCACGACTCGAAACATCTCTTCGTATGCCCGGAAAAAACGACACTGCAACGTCTTTGTCCCTGTAGGCCGACCCCACTGAGGTTGCACGCTTCTTAGGGCTTCCGTTAGTTGAGCTTACGACAACGACTGAGATACTAACCGATCTGAGGGGGGCATGTCAGAAGGCATCTATACGAACTGACGGACGAAGTCCAGAGGTTCATTGAAAAACCTCTGGACCCGTCAGCTTATCGAGAGGCCCTGAGCGGCATTCACAGGGAGTCAGTCTCGAGTTATGTAGACTCCAGACCTGTGAATGCCGTTCTAGGCACACAACCACCGGACATCGACGAGACGGAGCTTCATCTGCCACGGGAGACTAGAACCACAATAGCCCAACTTCGCTCTGGCTACTGCAGCAGGTTAAACTCATACGTGAGCAGGTTAGACGCAGATGTGCCAAATGAGTGTCCGGCATGCGGAGAGGCACCCCACGACTCGAAACATCTCTTCGTATGCCCGGAAAAAACGACACTGCAACGTCTTTGTCCCTGTAGGCCGACCCCACTGAGGTTGCACGCTTCTTAGGGCTTCCGTTAGTTGAGCTTACGACAACGACTGAGATACTAACCGATCTGAGGGGGGCATGTCAGAAGGCATCTATACGAACTGACGGACGAAGTCCAAAGGTTCATTGAAAAACCTCTGGACCCGTCAGCTTATCGAGAGGCCCTGAGCGGCATTCACAGGGAGTCAGTCTCGAGTTATGTAGACTCCAGACCTGTGAATGCCGTTCTAGGCACACAACCACCGGACATCGACGAGACGGAGCTTCATCTGCCACGGGAGACTAGAACCACAATAGCCCAACTTCGCTCTGGCTACTGCAGCAGGTTAAACTCATACCTGAGCAGATGTGCCAAATGAGTGTCCGGCATGCGGAGAGACACCCCACGACTCGAAACATCTCTTCGTATGCCCGGAAAAAACGACACTGCTAACGTCTTTGTCCCTGTGGGCCGACCCCATTGAGGCTGCACGCTTCTTAGGGCTTCCGTTAGTTGAGCTTGACGACAACGACTGAGATACTAACCGATCTAGGCGGGGTTGTTGTAGCCGCTACAACAACACCAACATAGCTCAATCTTAAGTATTGGTCTGATATAAAGAAAAACCTACTACATTGTATCGAGCCAGGATCTTGGCTTGAATGTGGTGGCACGGTTTCCATCTAGAAGGGATTGGAGAATGGGCCATGCAGATGATAAGGAAGCTATCTGCATCTACACAGACGGATCCAAGATGGACTGCGGTGTGGGGGCAGGAGTATATTCAGAGGAGCTTGGTGCTAATCTGTACCTGCGGCTGGCGAGCCGTGCCAGCATATTTCATGGGCATATGTGAGGCCTGTAGGTACTAAATAATAGTGCTAAAAACAGTAGGTTTGTTCCACACGAGCTCGCGGCTGCCCAAAACAAAAAAATGGCTAATAGAGCGAATACGTTACACTTTTGGATCGTAAATATCTTCCATTTTTTTTGTGCACGAAACAGCCCGGACCATATAAGATAAATACACGTAAAATCATTGTTTAGAGCTGATTTGTTGCGTTCCTCACGCTCTGGGCACTTTTGGCACATGTTGACACATTTTTGACACTTGTGAGAGAGTAACTTATTTTTACGCTCTAATTACCGAAGCAGCCCGGAAAGCGTGTGGAACAAAGCTAGGGACTTACTCAGACAGTCAGGCGGGGCTGCCAGCTATATCGTCTCCTGATACCAAGTCTAAGCTAGTCAGAATGCAAGATGGAGCTTGGCTCAGCGTCTCAGTCAATGTCTATCTCTCTTGACCGAGTTCCCGGCCAGAGGAATATAAAAGGCAATAAGAGAGCAGACGAATTGGCCAAGGCGGGAGCTTGTTTGGATGAATCGGACGCGGTGGTACTGGGATATCCCCTCAGACAAGTACAAGCAGAGGTATACTTGCATTTTCTGAAACTGGCAAAGAGGAGGTGGCCAGAGATTCAGACTTGCAAGATAGCACGTGAGCTTTGGCCTGACTACAGCAGGAAAAGAACAGCAGAGCTGCTAAATAGGGCAAGGATAGACGTATTTAGGATTGTAGCGACTAACACCGGCCACTGACCGCTAGGAAAGCATGCCTATGCAATGCGACGCCCATATAACGATATATGCTGCAGCTGCCGGATAGAGCGCAGCGAGGAAACGCTGCTGAATGCCAAGGGCTGGCTTCCTTAAGTCATAAAGCTTCCGGGAAACACACAGTTAGGCAGTTAACGGACTATTAGTCCGGGAGCCAGCGACAGTTTGGAGTAAGTAATTTGGCAAAAGCTGAAAATTTCACTTTCGCTTTGTTTTGCATTCCACAAAACGAAATGGACCTTCAGCTTGCGCACATGCGGTGTATGGATTCGGCAGCCTCCCACGCATGTAATAAAATGATACAGAAAAACTAATACAGCTGAAACTTTTTCGACGTGTTTATGATATTAAAAAATACCCAAGTAATATAATCAGCTGCCCTTAGTGCGGGGGATTATGCGTCAGCTTTCCACGTAAACATTGCAAAATTTGCACTGAATAGACTGGTACCGCAAAAGCTAAAATTTGGTAGAGTATCAGCTAATTGAGTAAGTTACACAAAAAAAATATTCCGCTTCATATAAAGCGGGGGAAAAGTGCTCAGCCTACGAGCTAAAGGCTCGTTATACGCGTGGGAGCCTCATATCTGATCGCATCAGCTGAGTACTCTTCCCTCGCTTTATACGAAGCCGATTATTTTTTTCAGTTAAGTTATCAACTTACCTGTTGAATTGCAAAATTTAAGCTTTTGCGGTGTTAGATATACATTGGGTTTTTATCACTAATTACAAAATACCCATATATCTATTATTTTGTAATTACTAGAAGCAGCGTGCGCATGCAGTTTTTGGATTATGTAAGGCTAATACGATGTTTCCACGCTTCGTAATTCGCTCTCTAAGTAATTCGGGAGTCACGCTGTTTCCACGCCACGCCATTATTAATTCGTTTGGCAGCTCTACTTTTTGTTCTTGTTCTTCGCTATTTATTCCCTCGCTAGGGCAGGCACCTTGCCGTTGGTGCGGGGGCTTCGCTGAATCGCCGACCAGCCCCTTTCTGGTTGTTGTTGTTGTTGTTGTAGCGGCTACAACAACCCCGCCCAGATCGGTTGGTATCTCAGTCGTTGTCGTCAAGTTCCACTAACGGCAACCCTAGGAAGCGTGCAGCTTCTGTGGGATTTGTCCACAGGGACAAGGCCGTTAGGGTTGTCGGGTTTTCCGGGCATGCGAAGAGACGGTTCGAGTCATGTGGGGTCTCTCCGCATGCCGGACATTCATANCGGCACATCCTCATTCAACCTACTCAAGTAGGAGTTCAACCTGCTGCAGTAGCCGGAGCGAAGTTGTGCGAGTGTAGTGCGTGTCTCCCGAGGCAGATGAAGCTCTGTCTCGTCTATGTCCGGGGGTGGTATGCCTAGAACGGCATTCACAGGTCTAGAGTCTACATAACTCGAGACTGAGTCCCTGTGAATGCCGTTCAGGGCCTGTCTGTACGCTGTCGGGTCCAGAGGTTGCTTAATGAGGGGCATCGCTGACGCGCTCGTCGCTTCTGCGCTGCCTTTTCTCCAGACTTGGGCTGCCGGCGAACGGTGACCAAGAACTGCCACCTCCTAATCCAGGGTGTGACGCGACACCGTGCCTATTGGACGGTTTGCAGCCAGGAGGGTATAAACCGGCTGTAGTATAGCGGCGCCTCTTCGACACCGGGCCGCATCGAGGAGTAACGGTGGCCTTACCGCGACATGGGGCGCTGGCGCGGCGGACCAGATAAGATCCCCTTCAACAAGATTTACTGCTGAGCTCGCCTCGTCGAGCAGGCAGTCGTACGAACAAGATGATTACAACTAAGCAATTAAAAGCAACAAAAACAACAACAGCAAAACAAGCGCAAAAACAGCGACAGCGACAACTACAACGTCAGCTACAGCCACAGCTGCAACTAGTGCTGCAACAGCGTTAACAGCAACAACTACAGCAACTGCAACTGCTGCGGACACAGCAACAACAGCGCAAAGAACAGCAACGGCCACGCACGGCATTAACATGCTGGGCGGGGGTAAAGGCACCAGGCGCAGGGGTAGCTTCCTTGAGAGCCTGACCGAAGAAGAGGCTGCCCTCTTTATTGAACACGCCAGGGATGAAGAGAAGCCAAGCACAGGCGCAGCGCCTTTCGGAAGGCCTCAAGGGAGCAGATGCATCACTCCCGAAAAACAGGCATCGCTCTGCTAGCAGGCAGCGAACTGAAGGTCGGCGTCGCTCCAGGAGTCGTGACCGCTCCGAGAGTCGTTGCCGGTCCAGGGGCCGGCGTCGCTCGGAGAGCAGACATCGCTCCAGCAGCAGGCACGGTTCCGGAAGTAGGCACCGTAGGTCTCCCAGTCGGCCCTCCACAGCGTCACAAGGTTCAGGGTGGCATGTAGAGGAGAGTAAGAAACGCAGTCGCAGGTGCAGACCTCCTCCACTACCCCCCTCCGGTCAACCGGGAGCCCTTGACGACCACCATCGAGCTGGACTTGGTGGGTCGGGGGTCAAGTGGTATCTTCGGTACCTTCGGCAGGGGAAATCTGCTGATGAAGCCCGCGCTATGGCGGAAGTACGGCAGGAGGTGGAGCGCGAGGAACGTGAGCGCGAAGAGCGCAAGCGCAGAGGCAATAGGGCTGCTACCGCTGTTAGGCAGCATGGCAGCAACTCAGGTGAACTACCCGCGCCTGCTGAAAGCAGAGAGGCGGGCAACAGCAACAGAGACCCGCGCCTGCTGNGACAACTACAACGTCAGCTACAGCCACAGCTGCAACTAGTGCTGCAACAGCGTTAACAGCAACAACTACAGCAACTGCAACTGCTGCGGACACAGCAACAACAGCGCAAAGAACAGCAACGGCCACGCACGGCATTAACATGCTGGGCGGGGGTAAAGGCACCAGGCGCAGGGGTAGCTTCCTTGAGAGCCTGACCGAAGAAGAGGCTGCCCTCTTTATTGAACACGCCAGGGATGAAGAGAAGCCAAGCACAGGCGCAGCGCCTTTCGGAAGGCCTCAAGGGAGCAGATGCATCACTCCCGAAAAACAGGCATCGCTCTGCTAGCAGGCAGCGAACTGAAGGTCGGCGTCGCTCCAGGAGTCGTGACCGCTCCGAGAGTCGTTGCCGGTCCAGGGGCCGGCGTCGCTCGGAGAGCAGACATCGCTCCAGCAGCAGGCACGGTTCCGGAAGTAGGCACCGTAGGTCTCCCAGTCGGCCCTCCACAGCGTCACAAGGTTCAGGGTGGCATGTAGAGGAGAGTAAGAAACGCAGTCGCAGGTGCAGACCTCCTCCACTACCCCCCTCCCGTCAACCGGGAGCCCTTGACGACCACCATCGAGCTGGACTTGGTGGGTCGGGGGTCAAGTGGTATCTTCGGTACCTTCGGCAGGGGAAATCTGCTGATGAAGCCCGCGCTATGGCGGAAGTACGGCAGGAGGTGGAGCTCGAGGAACGTGAGCGCGAAGAGCGCAAGCGCAGAGGCAATAGGGCTGCTACCGCTGTTAGGCAGCATGGCAGCAACTCAGGTGAACTACCCGCGCCTGCTGAAAGCAGAGAGGCGGGCAACAGCAACAGAGACCCGCGCCTGCTGTAAAGCAGAGAGGCGGGCAACAGCAGCAGAGACCCGCGCCCGCCTATTGGCGGAGAGGCGGGGAACCCATAGGTAACCCATCAGCAACTTCCACAGGTTCAGCAAAGCGAACCAGCTTACAGGTTACACCACCGGAGCCACCGACCCCCAAGCGACAGCGGGGGCCTACACCCCCTCAGACAGAGTCTAGGGGCCTGGAAGGGTCTGCGGGCCAAGGTCAGCCTCTGGAAGGAACCACTCTGCAGCCCAGCTACTCTGATGCTCTCAAAGGCATCCGGGTGGCTGTGCTGCCCTGTGACTACCCTGCAGCTGCTCTATGCCCGGAGGACCTAACCAGACTCCAGGATGTGATTATGGACGAGGTCCTAAAAAGGTGGTGTTCTGTGGGGTGTTCTTCAGATCAGGCATTCTCCTTGTGGACTGCAAGGATGAGCGCACTGAAGCCTGGCTGGCAGAAAAGGCACCGGCTATTGAAGGGTGGAAGGGACCCGAGCTATGCACGAAAAGGGGGGAGGACATCCCGCCGGTGCACACGATCTCGGTGTTTTTCCCTAGATGCGCCGAGAAATCGGCTGAGTACGTGCTGGGGCTTATTCAGGCCCAGAACGAGGGTGTCCACACGGCTGCGTGGAAGGTGGTGTCGTGCAACGCTGAGGACAACGGGCTCAGGCTCAACCTGGGCATCGTCAGCATAAAGAGGGCCGGATTCCACATAAATTTCCGGTACAGCTACGTCTCGGTGAGGCCGTGGCGACAAAAGACGACAGGCCGCAAGGAGTCAGAGTCGCAAGACATGTGTGTTGACGCGGCAACTGACTCCACTGCGGCCCCAGCGACAGAGTCGACCACGGCCCCACCAGCCAACCCGCTGTCAGAACAGGCACTGGCACCAGCCAACCATACAACAGAANCGACCACGGCCCCACCAGCCAACCCGCTGTCAGAACAGGCACTGGCACCAGCCAACCAGTCAACAGATCCTGCACAGGTACCAGCTCCGGTGAGTTCCGGGCCAAAAGGCCTCGACTACGTGCGCACCACACAGGAGCTCCTAGCTGACATTGGCAGGCTCGAACTCGATAGAGGAAGCGAGGGCGACGCGCGGCTCTCGGATATCGAGGACGAGCCCCAATTATGAAGACACCAGCAGTAGAGGTAGCCCAGGTCAATCTGCATGACGCGGTGGCCGCCTCGGGNAGGCCCAGAACGAGGGTGTCCACACGGCTGCGTGGAAGGTGGTGTCGTGCAACGCTGAGGACAACGGGCTCAGGCTCAACCTGGGCATCGTCAGCATAAAGAGGGCCGGATTCCACATAAATTTCCGGTACAGCTACGTCTCGGTGAGGCCGTGGCGACAAAAGACGACAGGCCGCAAGGAGTCAGAGTCGCAAGACATGTGTGTTGACGCGGCAACTGACTCCACTGCGGCCCCAGCGACAGAGTCGACCACGGCCCCACCAGCCAACCCGCTGTCAGAACAGGCACTGGCACCAGCCAACCAGTCAACAGATCCTGCACAGGTACCAGCTCCGGTGAGTTCCGGGCCAAAAGGCCTCGACTACGTGCGCACCACACAGGAGCTCCTAGCTGACATTGGCAGGCTCGAACTCGATAGAGGAAGCGAGAGCGACGCGCGGCTCTCGGATATCGAGGACGAGCCCCAATTATGAAGACACCAGCAGTAGAGGTAGCCCAGGTCAATCTGCATGACGCGGTGGCCGCCTCGGGGGTCATTGCGAGCAGGTTTGCCACGGAAGACCTGGGCATACTGCTAATACAGGAACCGTGGACCTACAGAGGCCAGGTGAGGGGGCATAACCACAACAACAATAAGGTAATTTGGGACCTCTCCTGCGAGGGGCCCAGAGCGTGTGTAGTGCTGAAAAATGATATTAATTATTTCTGCATTACAGAGTTTCTAACACAGGACCTGGTAGCAGTCCAGACTACCTTGATGGTTGATGGCAGGGAGTTGGAGGTGGTCTTGGCTGCAGCCTATTTTCCGGGGGACAACGCCAACGTGCCGCCCCTTGAGGTACAGCAGCTCCTGGAATCCTGCCGCAGGAAAAGACTTCCTGTCATTCTAGGCTGCGATGCAAACGCCCACAATATGGAGTGGGGCAGCTCGGACACTAACCGTAGGGGTGAGTGCCTTTTAGAATATATCATAAGTGCAGACCTGGGCATTCACAATGTCGGCAATGAACCAACGTTCATTACTAGGGTTAGAGAGGAAATTCTTGACATCACGATCAGCAACAGACTGGCCAGTCCTCTGATCGGCCAGTGGAAAGTCTCATCTGAGCCTTCACTGTCGGACCACAGGATTGTCCGGTTTGC